ACGCGCATTCGAACTGAGATGGATACCGCAGACAAGCTGGTGAGATTGTGTAGTTCGTGTCGGCAACCAGGACACAATCGAACAAAATGTCCTAACGTAGGATCAAGCAGCAGATCATATTTTCATATTTAATCTTGTCCCGTTAAATCAATATCAAATTCCATTCGATTAATAGCAACTTTTATAAGATTAATAGCAAATTTCATTCGAATAATACTAGGTTTCAATCAATTAAAACCATAGTTAACTGACACAACAACAACATGACAACAGAACACTGCGCGAAGGCAATATCTAAGATATCACGACCTAAAACAATTAAACAAACATAACAACAACGTAAAGACCTAAAACAGAACACTGCACCAAAGCGTCTACAATATCACGACCATCAACTTTATCTTCTTGGGTGTCAACATCATCACAAGGACACCGACATCATTTTCCACTTTTCTCCATTCACAAGTAACTCCGTTTCTCCTGGTCTCCTCGACCAGCCTCTCGATTTTCCTAATCTTTTCTCCTGGACCAATGTCTCCTTCTAGCCAGCGGTTCAGTTCCCTGTGCAAGTGCTCCAACGTCAGCGTATTCCAGAGGAGCACCTTCATCGGAGGCTTTGTTGGTGAAAACACAACTAGGGCATTTCTTTTCATTAGATCGAACGTTGGAAAAGGTTCCTCCGATGCTGATGACGACGACGAAGAACGTTGATTTAGAAATGCAGACATTCTAAACTCCACTCAACTCGAACTGCACTAACACTTTAGTCTTTTGGGATATAATGTTGTGAAAACATACATGTGTTTGCGGTCGCATTTATAGTAAAAAAAACAGTACGTACCCTATATGATATGACTTAAATAACCTTACAACATTTATACACTCAAAATTTGCTCAACACTATATTTTTATTTTGTATTTAAACCAGTTTAAGTTTTTTGTTTATTAAACATAAATTTATTAAATTAATTTGAAATTATTTTTATTTAAACCTAATTATTGTAAGTTTTTTAATTAAAAAATAAATTTTAACATTAAACCACATTATTTTAAATTTATTAATTCAAAAATTAATTTAAACATTTAAATCTAATTTTTTAAGTTTATTAATAATATTTATGTTTAAAAAATAACAATAATTAAAAATATAAAAAAAAATCGTTTTTATTTATTTAAAACATTAAATGAAATTAAAAAAATAATCAAAATATAAAACCAAAAATGATGAAAAGCGAAACCCTAACCATTGGCCTGATTCGCCATTCTGGTTGGCGAAGGGATTCCCAAAATAGCTCATTCGCCATTTCATCTGGCGAATTCAATTTCTCCATAAACATTTTGCTCTCATTCGCCATTTCAAATGACAACCGGCTGAAACGTTGGTCATTTTGGACAATTTTTTGAATTTATGATTATTTTGATAATTAATATTCAATATATAGTTATTATAAAAAAAAATTCCCATGGATACACTAACTCTTTAATGTTTTTTTTTATCAAATTCTTCGTTTTAATGATCCTTCATTTCATTTTTTAAAGATCACTCATTTCTAGTCATTCTCTTTAATATCTTAATTAATTCTTTATAGTTACCAGTCTTTTAAATTGTTTTTATTTCTAATAACTTCTTTTCAATACTAATATATATATATATATATATATATATATATATATATATATATATATATATATATATATATATATATATATATATATATATATATATATATATATATATATATATATATATATATATATATATATATATATATATATATATATATATATATATATATATATATATATATATATATATATATATATATATATATATATAAAATTATTATTTTATATTTACATATTAATTATTTATTTAAAAAAATGATTCAGAATGATACTTTGCTTGCAACGTTCTTTTTTTTCTTTGTGTGCAAAGTATCTTTCTTTTTTTATGGTTCTTTGATGATCCAAATTTAAAAGTCGTCCTATTTACTTATTATGATGAAGAAGTTACTATTTCAATATCTTAAATTTAATATTTTTTAACAATTTAATAATGTGTTAAAAATTCTCTTATTGATTGATGAAGAAACAACTGTACAAATGTAAGAGCATGGGAATCTGCTTATGTAAAACGGGAATCTGCTTATGTAAAACGTATTAGACATTGAGAAGAAAACCTTAAAACTTTTTATATTAAATGTATATTATTGTCGGGTATAATTTGTTACAAATGTCAAAAACTTGTGGTTTTTTCTAAAATTCACCTCTGTCTATTGAATTTTTTAAAATTCCAAAAATATTTGTATTTACGGATTTTAAAAAACCTTGTACGAACTATAGGTTACCGGGTCTTCCTTAAAATCGTATATGTACATCGAATTTTTCAAAAAGCCAGCATTTCGTCCACAGATTTACAAATTTCCATGATTTTTTACTAACAATTTTCTAAATGTCCGATATTTCATCACAAATTTTTAAAATATCTAGTATGTTATAAAAAAACTGATATTTCTTCAACCAAATGAAAAATATTGCAAAAAGTTTGATAATTGCATGTACTTTGAAAAAATCGATTTTTTTACGCAAATGACACAGTCTGAAAAGTTATGTATTAAATTGCCACAACATGAAATTTTTTTTCAGAATGTCATAATTCCTATTAGGGGTCGTCTTTCCATTGGACGAACTAATGCTACAAATTTTGTACATGAAAGGGCTCGGCCAATGGTTGGCCGAACCATTAAAGTGGACTTTTTTTATTTTTTATTTTTTTGTTTTAAAATATAATTATATAAATTTTATTATATTTTAATATATTTAATTATTTTTTAAAGATTAAAAACTATTTTGATGTTTTAAAATATTAGTGAATAAATATTTTAATTAATTTTATATTACAATTAAATATTTTTCATAACATTTAATTAATCAATTATCTAATTAATTAATATAATTTATTTATTAAATAATATCATAAATATAAACAATTTTATTAATATTATTGAGAGAAAAAAATACATCATTTTTGTCTACGTAAATGATCGTCAGTTCCACACATTTTACTCTTTTTCACGCGTTTTCCCCTGCCTAAGTCTTCGGGTTGCCGTCTTGTAGGAGATGGAGTAGATTCGGAAGACAACTCTTCATCTTCAGCTACACCCTCATCTTTAGCTTCACCCTCATTTTCACATACATTTTCAGGTTGATGTGATGTATTGACCATATCCATATTCGTAACAGAAAAATTTGGCCATTACACGAGCTGATCATTAGTTAGGAGATAGTTGGGGACTGATTGGGATAGTTGGTTGAAGGTGGTTGGAGGGCTTTGTTGGATGGAAGGGTAATAAATATCGTCAGTGTGGTAGGTAGAAGTGGGTTAAGAGAGTGAAGGGTTAAATGTTTGGTGTTGCGATTGTGGGAAGTTTCAAGCATTTCATTTACCTTGTTCTCATGTAATCGCATCATGTGCTAGTATACAGCATGACTACAACATGCACATATCAGATGTTTTCAAGGTTCTGAGTGTATTCAAAGTCTACAAGAAAAGCTTTCTTGGACTTCCACACCATAAAAATTGGCCAACATATGAAGGATTTACTCTTTACAATGACGAGACAATGCGAAGGAATAAGAAAGGGCGTTTAACTAGTACAAGAATTAGAACCGAAATGGACGATTTTGAAGAAGAAAAGAGAAGATGTGGGATTTATCAAAAAATTGGTCATATGCGTAAAAAATGTCCGAATGTAGCATGTCTGTCAAACGAGTCCCTTTAAATTAATTTGTTTGTTTTTTAAATTTAACTTTTAATTAATATAATTTACTTTTGTGGGATCTCAATTAATTTTATTTTTGTTTTGGAAAAAAATTAATTATTATATTTTTAATATTATTATATTATTTAAATTATTTTTTAAAATATTTATTAAGTTAGAATATTTATTATTTAAGTTTTATATATTTTAAAACAAAAAAATAAAAAAATAAAAATCCACTTCAATGGTTCGGCCAACTATTAACGGAGCTCTTTCATATACAAAATTTGCAGCATTGATTCCTCCTACCACCCCCTAACACAAATTCTGACATTTTGGAAAAAAGAAATTCATATTATGGCAATTTAGTATATAAAACTTCAGACTATAGTATTTATGTAAAAAAAAAATCAAAAAAAAATTTTAAAAAATTATTAAGAGCATAACTGTAAGAACAACCCTGACATAGTGGTGTCAAGTCAAAATGTACAGTGGTAAGATAAAATCTCGAATTTGAGACGAATTGAATGTTAACTTTTTAAACCTTTCTTTGGCCGATCCGAATTGAATGTTTAATGATGGTTTTTTTATTGGTGGTGGTTGAAATGCACTAACCTAAAACAGAGAAAGAAAATAGAAAATATATTTATTGTATTTAGTACATAAATATGAATCAATATTCAAACATTTATTAATATCATGGTATTGTCTTAATCGGTCTATATCTTAGTTCCAATAATTAACCATTCGCATCTTATTTTTTCTTTATCACAACAATTCATTTTAAGAGTCCCACAATTTATTAATAAATTAAAAGTGAAATATGTTTTTAAAATATAGAAAGTGTCTTAACAGATAAACGGTTCCAAATAAATAGCAAAGCAAAGATTTAAATGACTGCACAAAAATGAAATTTCAGTAACAAATAATAACACTCTTCTATTCTTTACAAAAGAAAACAGCTCTATCCCAGCTTATAAATAACTTATACTTCTATATGCACAGTAACTGCTTCTATATGTAAAAGAAAAGAAAAAAAAAAGGTATATTCCTATGCAACCTTAAAAAGGCCAAATCAGATATCAGTCTTATTTTTCTTCCCAACATCTATGCCAAATGTTGGTTCCATGCACCATATACTATCATCCTCTGGCTGAGAGGAGCCATTAAACAATTCCATGACTATGTGCAGAGAGAAATAAACACTTCCATGAAGCTGTACCCAAAAAACTACATGAGTTAATGATGAAATAAACACTTTCTACGGTTAGTAATAGTTTTATCTGCCGATTGGTTAGCCTTGGCCTCTAAGCGAGCTGTTGAACCAAAAGTCGTTAGCTGCACCATATCACGGTACTCGGGATCATCGGTCTTCCCTTCGTGTCTTATCCACTGTACCGTTTCGTGATACATTGGAAAGAACCGCATCTGAATTGCTTTGTATGAGAAGTATGGCATTAGGGTTGAGATAACCACAAAGAATGTTACTATCCAATAGGAAGGCGAAGGAGCGAGAGCTTCAACAAAGACTTTATAAGCATTTTCCGAAATCTTTTGAGGCACTTCTCCATATATTAGGAGAAAAATGTACCAGAAAAATATGGAACCCCAGATGAAAAAATGTTGGATCAAGGTGAAGTAACTTATAGCTACTGCCATTTGCAAGTTTACAACCCAAACTACGCAAGTGTACATGGTTATTCCTAATATATCTCTTCCGGCAGTTCTTCCCTCTGAATCAAAGGCTTGTAGCTCCATTGCCTTTGTGCAGAAGAAGAAAATTAATAAGGCGCTAAAGAATCCGTTAAGCATCCAGCTGAGTACTCGACGCCAGCTGAAAAGGACATTTTGTACTCCTTCTTGATATAACAAAGGAAACTTGAGGCAGTACCGAGCAGATACATCTTGGTCAAATACACCGAGAGCAATCACAGGAAGTGATGAAAAAAAGACATTATAGAGAGCTAAAAACCAGTCGTTATATGCAGGTTCTCCTGAGAATGATGCATACACCTCATACAAGAATAGAGTGAAACCAAATGTGATGTTCTTGTAGAAAAAATAGCATATCTGTCGAAAGAACAATTAACGAGTTAACAGAATACGAAAAAAAATCAGAGAGCTTCTCTAGAATCTAGAGATCCAATTATAATCACAGTAATATTAATACCATTGTTGAGATTCTTCGGTAACACCAATGCCCATGCACCAGAAGTAATCGTTCCAAATATCGGAATTGTGCAATTGCAATGTCACTAGACATAACAGCCTGTGGGATGAGGAGGAAAAGAAAAAAAGGAAAATGTTGTTTAGAATACATGTATAAGTAAAAATGAATTAAATAAAAGCATGAATATTGTGTGAATTTTTGCAGCACCTGCATTCCTTCGACGCCACTTATACCAACCCCGATATCAGCTTCCTGAAGCATTCCAACATCATTAGCTCCATCGCCAATAGCTAACGTTGTTTTACCAGTTCCAGATTTGACCAATCTAGTGACCTTTAAGAGAAAAACTAGACAAATTATTGAGGAAATACAACAAACTATGGTTACTGGCACCGGTAATAATTTGAGGGAATACAACAAATTTCTAATAGTTAACTAGATTTCTTTATCAGGATCAATAGAATATAAACACAGGATAGATTGAAAAATACCAGTGCCTTCTGCTTTGGCGATGAGCGACAGCAAATAACAGATGCACAACGAATTGCAAGCTCCAGGAACATGTTCTTCATATCATCCTCAAGTGCATAAGCAAGTGATTTACCATCAATTACTAGAGCAAAGGCCTGCTGAGAGTTCCCTTTGTGTGCAGTAAGCTGTGCAGCACCTTCACGTATCTGAAACAGGATACTCTGCCTTGATGCCTAAGAGATGAATCAGTGAAAGCAAGTGATTTACCATCAATTACTATAGGAATAGCTTATACACAAGAACTTATATGATAAACAATTATGCAATAAACATTTAATTAATCAAGTTGTTTATCCAAACAGGGCCTAAGAAATGAAGTTTTTTTTACCTTGGTAATAGCTCTCTTGTCCCCATCTTTTTCCAATGCTTGAATTTCTGGACTATCCAAATGAATTATAATCTGTTTCATTCCTTGTCTAAGTAAACTACAAGCAAACCTACAACGGAGTATTCATGTCAGTAACTTGAAATGAAATCATCATAGGGTGAAGCCTATGTGGCACTGACACTTCATGTTAAAGTTGTATCTAACACCTGACACATATGGTTAGATTCAATTATTTTTGGTCACTCAAATTTTACCGGTATCAACATATCACTACCGTGTTTGGTGGTGTCTGTGATTGAGTCAGGGTTTTATAGGATGAAACAATAGCACATAAAGCATATTAGTATATTATTATACCCTATATTGATTGCGGTCTCCATTTTATCCCCAGTCAAAACCCAAATCTTAATTCCCGCTTGGGCAAGCTTCTCAATACAATCAGGAACCTTGCAAACAAATACAATAGTTTCCATTACCAGTCTTGTTCCAATAAATAATATTCATAGGTAAAACATGCTTTTTAATTCTAACTCACCCCATTTTGGAGCTTGTCCTCTACAGCAGTAGCACCAAGAAGGATTAGGTTCTTCTCCATATTATCCGAAACTTCCTCAATCAATGTTTCCCGATCTGCACAAACCAAATTCTTGGCCTCAGAGAATTTGTTATTAAACTCCTTGTATTCTTCTGCTTCAAGTTCACGATAGGCAAGTATAAGAGTTCGGAGACCTGCATCAGCATATTCGCGCACATGTCCCATGGTTTTCTCTTCAAACTCCCTCCCATTCTTGGCAAGTCTTTCAAACATGACACTGCATGATATATCACTTCAGGCTGGTTAATAAGTGAAACACAAAGGACAGAGGTAAGCATTCAATTTGTTTAAGGTTACATATCAATTTATCACAAACCTGTCAGCACCTTTGCATAGTAGTAGAATTTTTCCTTCATCGTCTTTTACTATTACCGACATTCTCTTCCTTGAGCTATTGAACTCTAACACGTTGAGAATCTTGTACACCCTGCAAATTGAAACCAGCTACTGAAAAATATGTATCACTGAGGTGAAAGAAAATCTCAAAAATATAATGTATATAATATAGCATTTTAGAAAAGTATACGCTTTAGTTAGCATGTAATAAGTGAAAATATTAAATTCTAAACAGCATATTTTGCACTAAATAAATGAGGCATGAAAACAATTGAACCTTTTTTTTTTCTTTTAAACATAGAATTTCAAACAACCGACCTCTCAATTTTCTTGCCAGAAACTGGATCCAACTCGTATGTCGATAAACTAGTCTGAGCCCTTTTGTAGAATTCAAAACCAAGTTCTCTTGCCGCAATAACAAATGCGGCTTCATCTGGAGATTCAGCCTCGTACCACACATTTCCTGTTTCTTTATCTACTTCTGGTAAAGCTGTATGACAGACTGCTAAAAGGCGAAAAAACTTCTGGATAATATCTGCACAAGGCTCATTTACCCAATTTCCATTCATTATTCTTTCATCAGTAAAGTTAAAACCTTTTATGACTTTTTTATTATCAAGAGAATCACTGATGTCATTTTCCGATATATCATGCTCACGTACTAACTTTGAACCTTTTCTTCTACTCATAGTCTTCTCAACCTCTGTAACACCACGACCATAAGCTACACCAGCGATCGAACATTTGATGAATTCCATGGAGTTGCAGGTCAAAGTTCCAGTTTTATCAGAAAGTATTGTGTCAACTTGACCGAGCTCCTCGTTCAAGTTTGAAGTGCGAGCATGTGCTGGTTTGTCTGCTTCTTTGTAGTACATATTGATGTCTTGATTGATGAAAATGCTCTGAAGGACTTTGACAATTTCTATTGACACATACAAAGAGATTGGAATAAAGAAGCCGTATAACATTAAGGCTGTCAAACAATGAAATGCAGCAGCCGCAGCCGGTCTTTCCGGATCAAAGAAAACTGTAGAATTATCAGGCCTTAAATACCATCTTTTCACCACCCCTTTTTGCAAGTCGTCTTTAGTTATAAAGCCAAAGAAAATAGATCCTACAGATGCCATCAGAAACAAAATACAAAACAAGAAGTAGATGACTCTATCCATCTTCTTCTCAACTCGGCTTCTCTTCGAAGGTGGATCAGTAGAATTCTGAATAACCTTAGTGTCATGACCGGTGAAAATGATAGCTCCATAAATATAGTCTGTATTACGAAGCTTAGAGTCTCGCAAAAGAAGTTGCTGAGGAGAAAGGGCATACTTTTGCTCTCCAAACTCCATACTCCCTACAAACGAGTATAAATTTGCATTTGGATCTTCACATTTGACAGTCGCTTTAAAATTTTTGAAGCTGAGATTGTCATGTAACGAAGAAGTTGCCTCTAAACCTTGTTTTAACTTCAAATTTGTCTCACCGTCCAAGTTCATCGTCTCCACGTAACAGACTGCATCCTCATAACTCGACGAAAGCAATACAAGATCTGCTGGGAAAAACTCATCTTTCTCTACCTTCACTATATTCCCTACCCTCAGATTCTTCCATGCAGTATATTCAAAAATTCCATCAACTTTATGAACTTTAACTCTTCTATTGTTTACCTCGATATCCTGCCGGAGAATCTTATACGTCAGAGATGAAATAAAAATAAAATTGAAGGGACTAAAACCATATTAGCCCCATATTACAAAGACTAAAAGCGCTATTAACCCATTATTTTATCATATGCCACAAGCACACTTAGAAAATATGTATAACTTTAAAAATAACAATTTAGATTTTCATATAATACGAGAAAATCATTGGACCCCCCAAGTTTTTTTTCGAGGTTACCACTAGAATTTTACCCTATAAAGTGTACCCTGCAATTTAGCAGATTCAAACCATTTAGCATACTCTGAATATGGAATCATATGAACAAACAACTAAGTAATTGCACTTCATCCTTTTCAAAACAATACCGAGAAACTAAACATAAAAGCTACAATATTCCATAGTTGCCTGCCGCAATTTTTTCACTTGGTAAATACTTCACGGCCTCGTAAGAATACCACAATTTTTTAAAATACATAATTATTGATTCTCTTTAAATTATTAAATTTTGATTTACTTATTTGAGATTGTCTACTAACATGTCCTTAACCGCTTAGGAGACTGTTTGGGAGAGGTTATGGAAACAGTTTATGACATTTCCATAAGCTGTTTTCAGCTTATTTTCATACCCTATATAAAAATAGTTTGACGTAATTTAATCTTGTTATAAAAATAGCTTTTATACATAATCACTTATAGATAAGTGTGTATGGTATAAGTGAGTGATTAAGTTGTTTATCCAAATAGAGCCTAAATAGTTCATTTCCCTTGTATTATATTTACACAAAGTTAAAAGATAAATTTACAAGTACACAGAATATTCTGATTCTGTAGAATATTCACAGTAGTACTGCAGGGTAAAAAAAGTGGTAGTTAGAATATAGTACCTGCTTTTTCCTACGCCAATCTTCAATACCTTCTTTCACAATTGTTGCCCCAATAACAACCACAAGAGGAAGAATAGAACTAACAGCTCTATAAGGAGCAAGTTTAGTGAAAGCCAAAACACCAGCAACCAAAAAATAGAAATTAGCTGCTCTCCTAAACTGTTCAAAAAGTGATTTTGGAAGAAAAGTAACAGCAGTATATTTCGTAGATCTGACAGAATTATCTGCAAAATTCTTAATCACAGCTTCCTCATCATTAGTACTGTTTTGTTCATTGCATAAAACCACCCTCGAATAACCTCTACTTCCAATTTGTGAATGATCTCCGCCATCAACAGAACTCGCCTTGAAACATGTGAACGAATAGATCTTGCTTAAATGTAGCTTCCGGTTTTTGCCACCCCTCATTCCTTTATTTATCAACAAAACGGAAATTCAATATCAAGTAGAATCTCCAACACTGTCATAAATACAACCATAGAGAAACTGACAACAACCCAACCCAATTCACAGTACACCAAAATCACTCTGACAACAATGATTGAACCCTCATCAAAACAATCTCAAACTAGCATGATTCAACCGTTAACAAAAGTAAGAAACTTTGACAACGATTCTACGGCGACTGACTTGTTGGGTGGTGAAATGATTGCTCTCTTATTTCAATTTCCAATTGTCACTGCCAAACTAGTACTACTAATAGAAACGGAAACTTTCCATAAAACCCAATTTCCAAAGCAAGGTGATGACGACTGACAAGAATAATATCCCAAAATGCTGAAGTTTCTTCAAAAGCAAAAGCAAAAACTAATACCAACAACTACACAATAACACAAACACCTCATAGGCAAAACGTCATAACCCCCAACCCTAACCCAAACTCAAACCAAAACCAATACCATAAACACACATTAAAGAAAAAATAAATAAACAAATCAAAAGATTCTAAACCCCAGAAAGTTCCAATCAGAAAAAGCTCAAAAACCCATCACTTAAAATACATTAAAAAAATGAAAAATCGATAAACACAACTAAGAACCGAATTAGGCCTGCAATAATTACAACAATGAAAAATCTAGGAAGTGTCGGTGGCAGAAAATTCTAGAAGGAATAAAAATTCTGCAGATTGGAATGATGACAGTACTGAAACAAACAAGAATGTTTGAACTTTGAACAAAGAGGTAGTAGTATACAATAATTAGATCTCAAAGCATTATGATTATGAAAAAAGACAAGCATTTCACTTTCAAATTCACCTCTATTTTTTCCCAAGAAAGTTAAATTAAAAAATAAATAAAAAAAGCACTTTTTTCCCGGGAAAATAAAGTGAGAAAATGCTAACACAGATTTCCACAGAAAAACAAAGGTTTTTCCACTTTTTCTTTTTTTCTAACTTTAATTTCGCGGGAAAAGCTGTGAATGCATGCATGAATGAAGCTTTTGTCAATGGTGGTCACTGAGAAATAGTGTCACTGTCGATTTTTATTTTCTGTTTATCCAAAAAAAAATTAAGATTGTTTTTTTTTATATATAATTTTGTGTTTAATTAAAAGAAAATGAAATATTGTTGTGAATTTAACGTACCTTTCAGTTCAATTTTTCAAGCACGAAAATAGAGAGACAGAGAACACGTATGCAGAGAGAGAGAGAAAACGATGTTTTTTCTAGTTGAGTGTGTTGATGAACACGAACATGTTCATGTGTTGTGGTTTTTCCATTATGAACCAAATTTAATTTTATTAATATAATAAACCGTTCGACTTCAGATTATAATTTAAATTACTTACTACCTTTTGGATATTGTTTTCAGTTTTTTTTTTCTTCTTGATTCATTATATCCTTTTTACCTTTCATTATTGTTGGTGAATCCTTTGACTAAGTAATTATTATTAAGCTAGAGTTAAATAGACTGTTGGTTTTAACAAATATTAATTTTTAGAAAAAAATTGTAAATTTTGTTTTTAACTCAAGTAAAAAAAATTGAGAGTTGGTCTAATAAATGTTTTTCTGTATGGTTTTATATTATGGTATTTAATTTATTCTGATTCTATTATTCTTTCTTAGAAAAAACACATAAGAATAATTTTTTAAAAATGGAAAACTAATGAAAAAATTATAGAAATTAAAATGGTAACTCATTTAATTCTATTTTGTTTTTCTATTATTATTCTCTTAAAGTAAGTAAATTTTATCTCTTCGAAAGTCATAAATAAAAGAAAAAGAAATACAGACAAAAGATGTTAAAAGTAGTGTGTCAATACACTGTTTCTTTTTCTCTCCCCCTATGTAAAGATTTGAACCAAATTGCCACTTATATTAATTTTTTTAACATGAAAATTCAAAATACTAGCATTATCTTTATGTTAATAACTTAAAGTGATCATTGGGGGGAAAAATTAGAAGAGACGCTATGTTTCGGTTTTTCGTCAAAAAGATCGTCGTTAGGTAGGAAAATTAAAATATAAACACATTTCTTTAAGTATTTTTGGGGATTAAAATTAATTTAAATAAATAAGTTTTATAAGTTTTATATTTTATTATATTAGTAACTTGAATAATAAATTTAATATTAAAATGATATTTAAAGTTAAAAAAATCAATTATAGTAGTGTATTTAAAATATTCAAATAGTCAAAATCAATTATAAATACTTCATCCGTCCTATAATAGATATCATTTTTGCTGTCTAAAATTTTAAATTAATATCTGATCGTAAAGGAATCATTAGTCGGCCACGCGTCTGAACTGTCTGACTGTTGGAAGAATGGAGAGGGGTGTACCTGAAAGACAAAGTGAAAGTAAATACATAAATAGGTGTAGAAAATGGAGTACCTGACCCTCTGGTGAAAGAGGGTATTTATAGTGAGACCCCAAAGTAGTGTTAACGGTCACTTGCATTGGACCAGATTGTCAGGCTCAACCCAAGTAACTGCTAGGGCTTACGTGGCGTAGTAAAGACCAACATATGGTATTCGCCCTAGATCAATTGTCATGTGATCTCCGAAAGGTGGGCTCACCAGCTCTTTCGGAGGTGGGTAGTTGTCTGATGATGTGTCCCCGCAGGGTGGGCACGTGGAGAACATGTGGAAGACGTGTGGGTCTGCCCAACACGGGAGACGTCTGCCCGACGTATGTGGCTTTGTGCCCGACGCGGGGATTTGGGTCTTCCCCACATAGTGTTGGGTTGGGCCTGCCCAACGGATGGGCAGGTTCGGGCCTACTCTAGAACAGGAGCCCCCTAAGTCGTTGTTCCGCTGCAGAGGAGTGATGACTTGATAGCAACTGTGTCGAGGACATAAGGGAACGAGGATTGAGCTCATCGGATTATCATGTCGAGGACATACGGGGATGAGGTTTGTCGGGCGCCCATTTCCCTAAGCTCGAGGGGGAACGAAGGGATGCGGTCGTTTGTGGTGGCCACGTGTCTGTCATCCATTGCTCAACTTAGGACGGCTACCCTAGGGGCACTTGAGTGCCTAGGGACGCTTCGAGTCCCGTGCAGTGTTTATAAATAAGCAGACGCCTACCCTTTTATTACTTTTCGCTCTCAATCACTATTGATCGTCATCTCTTGCTCTTCCGTACACGCACCGTCGCGCATCACAACCACTGCACCGTCTGTCGCGAGTTCCGTCGTATCTCTGTCTAGCCTACTGTATCAAGTAAGTCTTCTTCTTCTTTTCTTTTGTTTCTCTCATTTCCGGCATCCCCTATGGCAGACACGATGAGCATCCCGAGAAGGATACGGGTTTTCTGGCGATTACGACGGGATTCCCTTGACCTGGGATGAAGCCGTCGAGGTCACCTGAGGTATTAGGACGAGTCTCCCGGGGACAGGCGATAGGGTTTGGATGAACGACCCTGGTATATAGGATAGGGTTAGATGAATGTCCGGGGAGGGACGCTAGGTACAGATGAATTCCGTGGGGACGCGCGTTAGCGTTGGATGAATATCCCAGGGACGCATGCTATTGTGGGATGAATGTCCCGGGGCCACGGTAGTAGTCGCACGGGGAGGTTGATGTCAAGGAGGAGTGTAAGTCATGGTCGTTGTCCTCATCGCCCTTTCACTTGATCTGTGGTGGAAGGGTGAATTTGATCTTGAAACGTCGAATTCACCGGTTTCCTCTGCTTTTTCAGGTGATCATGGCCACGTGGATAGCAGGAGTTATGGAAGTTGACGTGTAGCCAGAATCTCCAGTGGCCCCGCCCGTCGAGGGGAAGGACTGGACGGTCAAGGACTAGGTTGGGGAGGAGCCTCTAAGCACGCCCTCTCGTTTCATCGAGGACGACTCCGACACCTTCGTCACAATTGAGGATCGATGTGAGGGCTCATTTGTGAGCTGGAAAGTATACCGACCACAGGCCCACCACCGTATATGCTCAAGCTACGGGAAGATGAGGTTTCCCATGTATTATTTTTGCTTCCGTGAAGCGGATCTTCGGCTGCCCTTCACGGATTTCCAACTAGGTGTCTTCGACTGGCTGAAGCTAGCACCTTCTCAGTTGCACCCTAATGCTATAGCCTTCATCCGGGTATACGAGCTCGTCTGTCGTCATCTGAAGATGGAGGCCACTCTCACCTTGTTCTTTTGTCTTTTCCACCTGCAAAGGCAAACGGTTGATGGCCGACATGGATGGGTGTCATTGAAGCAGCCGAGGAGGCTCTTCAGGACGTACATGGACTCTATCCGGGACTTCAAAGACCGATTTTTTGTGGTTCGGCCTGTTTCTCACGAAGCATACGCCTCTTTGTTCCGACGTGAAGTCCGGGAAGTGAACAGGCAGAGGGAAGAAGTCATGGTGCCGAAGGTACCCCTGGATTGGTCGGAGGAACATTTCAAGAGGGGAACGTTATATCGTGCGGGCAGGGATATTGGACGAGGAGGACCAAGTTGGCTACTAGCGACGGGTGTTCTTCGTGGCCAGTTTTACCCTGGCCAAGCTCGTGATGCCTGACGGAAACTTCATCCTCGATAGTCAAGGGAATATCCTCTAGCAGTTGAGGATCATCAATACGAAGGCTCTGCTCGAGTGTTCGTCGGACGAGGAGGCCCTGCGTTTTCTAGGTAGCAGGCAGTATTTTGCCCGTCCCTTCTGTGCTCTGTTATCTTCGTGTTTGCTAACCCTTTGTTCTTTTGTTTCGCAGGAAGCATGTCGACTATGCAAGAGTGTGTGAAGAAATTGGCGGCCTCCAGGGGCGCGAAGAAGAACGAAAAAGGGTCTTGAGCTCGTTAGTCGAGGTGAGGTGCATGTCCCCGTGTCGTTGGCACCTGTCGCACTTCTTCACATGCTCCTTTGCGTTCTGCTGCATCGTCGGCCAATAGTATCCAGCTCATAGGGCCTTCCGAGCTAGAGATCTTCCCCCCAAGTGTTGAGCCTTAATGCCTTCGTGGATCTCTTGCAGG